GCTCACAGCACTTCACTCAGGAGCATCCAGGCCCTGGACTCATCTGGCAGAGCTGTCCTGGCTCTGCTTCTTTGCTTTTTGCTGTCCTCATTCCTCCTCAGTCACCTGTGACCCATGACGCCCAGGGAAGAAGGCCTGTAACAATGTTTTTCCAGTCCTGTGTCTGAGGTGGCCAGCAATGTATGTACCGAGGCTGGAGAGAAGGGTCACCATGTCCAGGCCTCTGCAGAGAGCCCTTCACCAGGTTCTCAGAGAACAGGTCAGAAGGATCTGTGTTTTGCTCTTTGCTGACAAACCTGCATGGCATTTTGCCACAGTGACCTCCCAGGGGAATTTCTTAGCAAATGAGGGAGATTTTATGTGTTCTTAGTTCAACAAAGGACTCAGACTCTGGTGTCTTCTTCCCTGTGCTTTGGTTCTGAGCTGAGGGCAGTTTGGAACAGGAAGGAAACACACTGAAGGGGGTGGGGAGGGAGGAACCAGTTCCTGCTGTCCTGCTGGGCATCAGAGTATACATCTTGGTTGGCAGGTGGTCTGTGGGTGCAGAGCTATGGGACATGCTGACATTCCTTGCTGACAAAGCTGGCTAGGGACTCAGCAGGGTTGGTGTTTCCTGGGCCCCCATCTCAGGGAAATCTGGCCCAGGGTTTGCAGATAGACTCACCCACTTGCCTGATTGTAGGGCATGTGCAGGGGGATTGCTGTCACCCAGGATGGTGCCATCTGGCAGGTATGCTGCATGCCTACCACCAAGGTCTATGTGACACCTAATGGACAGACAGAGTCCTCAACAAGGTGACTGTCAGCAAGGTGAAGTACATCCCATAGACCCAGCACCCAGGGTCAGGCAGGCTGACACCTGCACTTCCTGCCATCTAACATCACCTTTCATGGACACCCTATACCAGGAGAGATGGATCATAGTGGCAGGCTACTGAGAGAAAACTGTTCTCCCCTTGAGGGTCCTCAACTGTCTTGTTAGGTGATTGCCCATTAGGCAGCGGAATCCACCCTGTGTTGTCCTGGTATGGGATCCACCTCCTTTGAGCTTCAGTTTTCTAAAGTCACATCTGTCTTCATGGTGGCAGGATGGCCACTGACTGACTGTGCTCTGGGTCCTGGGACAGGGAGTGAGCCTGGCGACCAAGTGGGTAGCCACAGTGGCAGGTGCTGTGGGGTGTGGTTTGCATAGGGCCCTCCTGAGTTGCTGGGCAAATGTGGCCCTTGGGCCTCATCACCCTGCTGCCCAGCTTCCAGGGTCATTCATCCTGTGTACAGCTGAGTCTTCCTAGGATGGTCTTCCTAAGGAGGCAGCTGCTCTCATGGGATGGCCACCAGGAACGTAGCTCTTCCCTGAAATGCTTGGAACTAGAAGTGTTTGAGTTCAGTTTTGCGGGTTTGGCATCTGCACAAGACCCTACTGCTGAGCACTCCTACCTAGGACACCTAGCCTCTGAAGGCTACAGTACCCATGCGTAGCAGGAGTGCTCAGGCTGTGTCACTGATATCCAGAGTTCCCTGTGCAGGAAGTGAAAATCTGAAGATGTTGCCTGGCCTGTGAGGCTCCCAAGCGCTGGGAGCAGCTCTGGTGTTCTGTTCTGTGAGAAATTCCACATCATGCTTTAGAAAGCTCTGATTTTTAAAGGCCTCCATTTGATGAGGATGAGCGCAGGCCCAACAGCTGAGGGTCATGTCCTCCACAAATGCTTGAGATGAAGCAGGGTCCAAGCAGCCTGTGTGTTGCTGGATAAGTCAATCAATGGAGAAGCTGCAGACAGGGTGAGCACGGTGGCCACATGTGGTTTGGGATGAGTGACTTGGCTGCTCTGTGCCTCAGGTTTTTGTGAAATGACCATGTTACTGCTGCCCTGGGGTTGACGAGTGTCAGAGAAGATGTGGTGAGGAAGGTGACCTCAGATGTGTCTGGACAGGGCTGGAATCGGCACCATCCACCACCAGAATTGTCCAACACACAGCCTAGGAGCAAGGGAGTGGCATCAGGGTCTGCCCTTCTCCATTGTCCTGCTGGCAGCTGGATCTCCTGAAAAATGTAATGTCCAAGTCCCCCATAGGCAGAGGTTTCTCTTCACTGCCCCTGCATCTGCAACACTCAAGGAGTGACATGTCAGTCCCAGCACAGCAACTTGGTGGAGTGGCCCCAGGAGGACATGTCATGCTCTGTGGTCTGCATGTGGTCAGGGCCAAGTCTGGGTCCAGATCCTCCCTCCTGCCATGGTTGTTTGTGCCTTCAGGAGGGAGGAGGTTGGCACATGGAGCATGGGAACATGCCAGCTTGGGTTTCTCTTCCTCTTTTCCTGAGGAACATCATGGGCCACTTCGAGATTCCCATCAAACACTGACAGACTCTAAAGGCCCACATTCAGATCCCTTGGAGATGTGCATTTGAGGCTGACATCCAACTGAACCTGGAATGTGTTCACACCACAGAGGTGGTAGTCAGGTCCACTGACCTCACAGTCACTGTTTCCCCGGGTCTGGCCCCATGGGCACCATCACTGACAGGGTCCTGCCATTCACTTTGCTGACCTCCGTTAGGAGTAGGAGGTCAGGCTTGGCCCCAAAGGGTGCCCACAGAGCAGAAGGTGGTGTCAGAGTCATCTTCATGGGAAGGAAATAGGTGCATTGAGACTCTCCAAGCAACTGAGTCCATGCCATCAGTCATGGTAGCCAGTCTTTTGTTGGGAAGTTTTTAATTTTTGCCTTTATTAATCTACATTTGCAGTACCTAATGATCACTTTCCTCCTGGGGAGTTGGCACACAAAACACATCTTAACTCTTTTTTCACCCCTCCCTCTTCCTCTCCCCCATCTCCATCTCTTGGTTCCTTTCCCTTTTGCAGCGGATCTGTCTCCCTGTTTCCCATTAAGATGAACATGCCTTGTTTTTTCATAAAGAAGATCTGTGGGATGTGGAGGGTGCAGTGGGGCCTTTCACAGCCCCAGGCCTCACCACCTCGCCACACTCGGCCCGCAGCCCACAGTCACCACACAGGGACCATCCTAGTCCCTGGCTGTGGACCTTTGGCCTGGTGATGTGACCATGAGGGCCAAGGCTCCACAGATGTGGAAGCGGAAAGGGAACATCGTCAGCTGGTGCAGGAGCCATGGCTACTGGCAGAGGAGGAGGATGTGCAAGGCTGGCAAGAGGCCTTCTGATGGAGATGGCTCTGGGCCCACACGGAGCCAGCTCTGCAGTGCGATCCCTGGAATCCACTGGGAGGAGGGTGAGCATCCCTGGCCAGGTTTTGCATCAGGAACTGTAACAGAGTGGCTGCCCAGCAGCCCAACCTCCAGCTGGGGGGTGCCTTGTCTCTATATTGCTATGGAGGAAAGGTGTATGCCTGTTGAGAAACTTCAGGATGAGACCTTCCTGACTGTCACAGCAAGGACCTTATATCAGAAGAGGCTGGCACAGTTCTGTCCCTGGAGTGAAGAGTAAAAAGGATGTGACCAGTCTGCTGCTTTATCCAGAGAGTCCTGCGGGGCAGTGCATGGGCTTAGCAGAGAAGGTGCTGACTCTACCTGAGAGCAGTGCCCAGGTGAACTGCCGTCCTCATCTGGGCCCACTTGGCCTCCATTTCCTGCTTCCCCTATGGACTTCCTGGATTGTTGCCCCACTCCCATTTCCTTCTGAACATAGGGGCCTCCCTCCCCCAGTAACCCCTTCTGCAGTTTTCAGGAATACCTCTATCTGGAAGACCTCACATTCTTGCTCAGGATCCCTGCAGTGCAGCTCAGAGACCCCATGGGCTCCAATCCCAAATAGCTGTCCCAAAGACAAGCCAGGGACAGGCCACAAAGGTATGATGGCTGGGGCTCTGGGTTTCCAGACTTTGTGTTGATCCCTGAAGGGCAGCTAACATTGCCTCAGCACCCTTCCCCCAGCTCTGGACAGTGGGGAAAAGTAAGGGATCTGGTAGGTATTCATCAAACTGAGCACGGCACCTTTGTTCAGTCCATCCTGTGGCCTGTCTGACCCCGTGTCACACTTTGTTCCTTACCACCTTGTGCACAATAAACAGTTCTCTCTCTTTTATTCTTTTAAATCTGTAAATTCCCCTACCAGATATGTTAGGCTGAACCAAAAATACTTGCAAAGAGAGGGGCAGCACCAGGCATCATAAGTGTAAGTGTCCTGTGGGGGAGGGGACATGATTACACTGATGCTCTGGGGCCCTGCCAGATGCCACCCCAACCTCAGGGCTTTCCCTCCTGCAGCAGTATGGCTTACAGACTTGCCAGGAACCATGCCTGGGGACCCACACGGAGCCACTCAGACAATAACATGGCTGCCAGAGGCCTGGCTGAGTGTTCATTGTGGGGAGTGTGCACCCCTCATTTCCTGTTGTGTACCACCTGGACCACATGTTATCAAAGACTGGCTGCACTGTGAAAGCATCTGCTGTCTGGTGGGACAGGTGGAGGTATGGGAGGAGTCTCAGCTCAGTCCTTGTGAATGGCTGCTGAGTTCTGGGAACCTGGCTCAGGACAGCACTGCATAGCTCACATGCAGCCATAAACAGCAGCCAACTCCCTTGGAAAGGGCCCATGGCCCCAGGCCTGAGGCACTTGGAGAGGCCTCAATTGCAGCCAGTGGGAATACTGTCCTGGTGCACATGGGAGCAATGGGGCTGCTGCCTTAGTGAGTGCAGTCAGCAGGGCTGGCCAAGTCTACCTGCTTCTCTCTCAAGCCCTGGCTGGTTCTGTGGTGCTGCAAGTTACCCCCAAACGTAATGATGGAGGATAAGGAGGGGGCCAGTATGGAAACTCCTCTGTCCTATGAGCCATGGCCTCATTGGCTTTCAGGGTAAACTGTTCCACAAACCTGCTGCCTGTCCCACTGCCCACTTGGTGCAGGAAGCCAGGTGACCCCACCACTGTGAATGGTTCTGGCTTCTAAGTGGGAATGTAGCAAGCAGCGCTGAGCTAGTGCAGCTGGTGACAGTCACCTAGTGATGCTCTGTCTCCTTCTTACCCAGCTCAATGACTCTGCCAAGCAGCTCATCGAGATGGACAAGCTCTGCCCAGCTGCTGCTGCAGCATCCGACTGTGCTGCTCCCTTGCCCTTGGATCCCAGCTCAGTGGCCAGCTCTGGCCAAGGCCATGCAGTAGGCAGCTCGGGAGCTGTCAGTGCCTTTCAGCGGCGCATGGACAGTAAGAAGAATGCCAAGAAACGCCACTCATTCACGGCCCTCAGTGTGACACACAAGTCTTCACAGGCAGCCACTCACAGGCACTCCATGGAGATCAGTGCACCTGTGCTCATCAGCTCAAGTGACCCCCGTGCTGCAGCCCGGATTGGGGAGCTCACAGGCCTGCCCTGTGCTGTTCCTGCCCAGGTAAGGCCCCAGCCCACAGTGTCCCTGAGATCTCAGGTGCCCAGCAGTCCCAATGATGAAAGATCATGAAGATGTCTAAAGCTGCACCAGGGAGCTCCCCTACCTGACTCCCCTCCGTGTGCTGTGTATGTCAGGGTCCTCCTCTGTCTCCTTGGCATCCTGGGAAGATTCCTTGCCAGCTACAGAGTGTCCAAGCCAGTCTGCATGGCTCACAAATGTCCCTCTAGCACAAGAAGGTCCTGAGCTCAGAACCAGAATTGACTGTACTGCCGCTCTATGCTTTCTTCACGACTCTCTTGTTTCCAGAACAAAAGCTGATTCCACATTTGCTGGTTTCTTTGTAGATTTGAGAAACCAGACCTAGGTGTTTCAAGATGTAGTTCTTATTATCTGCAGTTCTGGGAAAACCTACCACAGTGGGAAGGGCAGAAGTTGCAGACTAAGGCCAAGCAGGAGCAGGGGTTCTCTGAGGTTTGGTGGAATCCTGCAGCCACACTCGCTGCATACAGAAGAGCAGATGAGCCTTGCTGGGCAGGTAGAGGGGCCTGGCTGAGCAGGGCTCCTCCCCAAACCCAGGTTCTCCAAGACACTAGACTGCACAGGTATATATGGGTCTCTGTTCCTCCTTGAGGCTCCTCTGCAACCAGCTGTGTGTTCCTTCTGGTGTCATGGCTGACTTCCTTAGCACAGTGATATCCTTTTGTGGACCAAACTGGAGAACGCACCAGTGGCAGAGGGGAGAACTGTCACTATTAAAGGTCAACTCAGCTAACTTTATAGTTTCCCCTAGAAAAATAGAATAACTGAGCTGGAGAATTGTAGTTTGCCCTGAATGTGGACTCAGCTTAAAAATGTCCCAATACTCATGTGCATACACATATGTATACACACTGAGGCCTGTGCTTACACATACACATGCACACACATACCTATGCCCTCACCACACATATACACACTACTTATTAACAGACATGCACACAGGCATGTTTAGCCCTCAACCTAGCCTAGTGCTGTGATATGTAGTGTGCATCTGTGTTTGTAGTGTTTGCTGCCTGTGACTCCCAGGCTGCTGCCACTGGACTCATGCTCCCCAGAGAGCTGTTCTTGGACTGCTGCTTCCCAAGGGTCAGGTACTGCTGGGCTGGGCCAGCCTCTTCCTGCTGTCATGGGACACCTGCTGCTTGACGTTCCTGTGGGGGCACAGCCCAGCCCACACCCCACTGTGTGCACAGAGACCAGCCTCCTCCAGGAGTCTTGTGTACCCTTTACCTAGATTCCTGGGGATGCTGAGGGAGAGGTCTCGCATAGCTGTCATAGTGGTGCTAGATCTAATGATGCTCACCCTGGAGTCCCTCCTGTTGCCTCTGCTGACGTGGACAGTTAACAGATGTCTGTAAAGGCTACAGTCCTGTGGCTATTGGGGAGGTACCCAAAGCTCATTCCCTTGTTCTGTCTGACTGGGTTGGGCTACATCCTGGAGTATGGCCATCTGCTGCACATTCCTCTTTCACCTGGGACATAGGCTCTGCATAGGCAGGTGCAAGATCCCTAGCTTCTCTTCCCCTCACCCTCCTGCTACCAATGTCTCTGTGTTGGCCCAGCAGGGTCCCTTGCCTGGCTCCACACTGTCTGCTGCACAATGTCCTAGGGACAGGAAAGAGAAACCCTGTTTCCTTTTGTGCAGCACCATGTTCCACGTGTTTGATTAGCTGGCTTTGTTGTGAGGCTGGGATCCTGAGGTCCCTGTTCTATCTAGCCCTTCAGCCTGCAATGAAAGTTGTGAGCAGGCTATGGATGTAGGTCAGATCCTGACAAAGGGCAAACTAGAGTCTGTGTCCCTGTCCCTATAGTTGAGCTTCCCTGAGCAGGGGTTCTGAAGGCATTGGTAGTTCAGGGTAAGCCTCGAGCTGCCCATTGAGCCCAGAGTGCTGCAGGTCTGTCTGTGTTCAGAGGCTGGCCTGGATCTTCCCTGTTCCTGCCTTCCCACTGGTCACATGCAGGACTATTAAATGAGACAGGAAGAGAGAAAAAGGCGAGAAGGAAGCCACAGACACTTGATGGTCCCAACAGCCCGACACATTCATCTTCTGTACCTCTAGAAAACTTCAGGCTAAGGCTTTGTGGATGATAACACTGAAAAGGAAAAAAACACCATCATAGAAAAACAAAAAAGTGGCAGTTGGATTAGGTTAGTGAAAGGCCCAGGTCAGGTGATAAGAACTCAAGCCAGACATGAAGGAGAGCTCTGGCTTTCAGGTATGTAGCAGGAATATCCCATAGGGTGTGGTGGTAGGAAGCTGTGGGATCTCTAGGGATTGTGATCTTTCCCCACCATGAAGATTTAGGGACAGCAAGTCAGGGACATCAGGGTTGTGGATCAGCTTCCTCCAGAGCACCTGGCTCAGCCCAGTGTGAGGTGGGATCAAGGGGCCTCCCCCTGCCCTGCATCCTGCTGCCACCCCTCTGTGAGCCCTCTGACCTGCTACTCCCTGTGCTCTCCCACCCAGGCCTTCACCACCTCATCCCCACCCATACAACCCACCTATGAGTCTCCCTGAGTAAAGTGGCTCCGCAGTGTGGGTGAGTAGTGCCATAATGAACTAGATCCCTCCTGCAGCACTTCCTACCTGATGGCAGGGGAGCAAATCACCCCCTGCAATGAAAATGATGCCTTCTGTACATAGGGAGTTGGAAATGCCTCTGTTTGATGTACTTATGGTCTCCTGCCTTCCCACCACCGGGCTACCCAGCAGTCCTTGTCCTAGGGAAAGAAGGCAAACCGGAAGCTGGTGATGAAACCATCTGTGGCTCTTCCTAGGGCAGAATCACTTGGTTACAACTGAAAAGTTGCAAAATCCCAGACGGATGTGAAGCAGTCCTATGGTGTGCTTCACAGACTTCAGCTTTCTGCTGTGGTGTTCTGGGGTTTTCACTCTTTCAACTAGAGGTTTGAGAGTTCTGTCCTCGCCTACCACCTCATCATTCTCCTTAGTAACATTGGAGGATTGCTTGTTACACTGTTGGCCACAGCTAGCAATGGCAGTGCTGTCTGGGTGCGTATTAAAAGTTGAATACATAGGTGCTTCTTCAGGACTTTTGTCAAGGTAGCTCCTGTGCTGTCTTCCTGCTACATACTCTCTTTCCCTCTTACTGATCCCAATACCACAGTGACCTGGCCCCTGAGGCTGCCTAGGGTCTCCAGTTTCAGGAGGACCCAACAACTGAGGAAAGGAATGGGGGACCAGGAGCAGAAGCCCTTCCACAGGGGCACGACCACAAAGGACAGCTCTGTCCTTCCTGAGCGCAACCTGGGATGTACCTGCTGAGCCAAGGGCTCCATCCCAGGGTGGGCAGGGGCTGTGGATGCCAGAGGACTGTGGGGAAGCTGAGCTCCATGACCCCTGGAGCCCAGGGGCCGAGCCAGGGATGGCACAGCATATGTGATCCTTGTATGCTGGACCTTGTTGGCCCTGCCTGTGCTGGGCACCTGCCAAGCACTGTTAGCTGGGCCTTTACATACTTCATAAGGATTGCTGGGTGGTTGTTTGGTGCAGCAACTCTGGCACTGCATTCTGTGCTGAGGGGCCAGCTGTTCATCATAGGTACCTGCCTGGGAAGCCCAGCCATGTCCCTCAGTGAGCCATTTAAGCAAAATATGTTGTAGTCTGACCATATCATGACAGAGACCTTCCCATGAAGGGACTGGTGGGCACAGTGTCACAGAAAGTGCACATGACTGTGAAGCTAAAGCTAAGATTTCCACCCATGATCCTAGAGCCAGGACCCACTTGCTGCAGGCTGCTGCAAGCTTTTATTGCAAAGCTTTTACTCCCTTTTTCTTATCTCATTTTACCATTGCCTGACTCTTCTCCCTGGCAAGTCTTCACTAATCTTCTGGGCCCTGGATGATATGAATGAAGCTATTAGACTCCTAAGTGAAGTGGAAACTCCTGAGTTTGGGTAGGGAGCCAGGCTGAGTGGTCAGGGCCAAGGACACCGGACATCTTGGTATCATGTGGATGAGTCTGAGCCCCATATCGTCCTCTGTTTCGGAGACACATGTAAATCATATCTTGCAAAGGAGTGACCGCATGGCACCCACAGATACTACAGCATCCCACCCCTCCCAAAAGCTCCAGTGTCACCCATAGAGATGGCACAGATAGAGCCAGAAAGATAGGGACACTCCATCAGCTTGAGCACATAAATTTAAAAAAAAATGCCGCATGTCCCAACTCCCAGGGGACCAGTGCTGTCACTGAAATGTGGGTCTCCAGACTTAGTACCATGGAAACACACAAGTCACTTACCGAAAGTCAGTTCCCGACTCCCTTTTTTCTGTTCCCACAGCCCACCTGTCTCCCACACCCTCCTGTCCTGAGCCATACTCAGCCTCCAGGCCTCCAACCAGAAACACCTAGATGCTTCAGCTGCTCAGGTTTTCTCCAGTATAAATGGAGTCACAGTGAAGTCCCTGTTTGTGGTTCCATTCTACTGGGTTGATTAATTATACTACCAGATCTAGCAGATTGTTCTCTCTATCTCTGTGTCCCTCTGAGTCAGAGAGAAGCCTAAGTAGCAGAGTTTGGGCTGTGTGAGACTCACGGTCAGTTTCATTACTCTCCTTGTAAACTGGGCAGCACCACCCTGTACATGGGCCACAGCCCTTAGGAGCAGAACTCCAACTTCTCTGTCATTGAAGGGCAGAAAGTAGAGGCCAAGTAATTGGTTATCTCTAAGTTGGAGCACTCCCAGTAGGCTTTAGAGAACATGACGGCTTCTCACCGGGACCCAGGAAAGGGAAGTCCTGGAGACAGAGGTGTAAAGAAGGGGGCCTGGAAGTTAAGTTCAAAAGGGAGAGAGGGGCCCGGGGAGGTAGCTCAGTGGCACAGCACCTGCCTGGTAAGTATAAAGTCTAAAGTTTGATTCTTGGTATTAAAAAAGAAAAAAAGGAAGGTCTTGGAGATGGGGTTAGAGAAGAAGGATGTCCTGGAGATAGGGATGGGGAGGAAGGATGTCCTGGAGATGGGGATGGGGAGGGAGGATGTCCTGGAGGTGAAGATGGGGAAGGAGGACATTCTGGAGATCGGGATGGGGAGAGAAGATGTCTTAGAGATTTTTAAAAGCTATATTGTAGTGTGAAACTGACTGACTTTCTTTGACAGAGATAAGGATAATTAGTTTGGATCTGAGACTAAGCCGAGCCTTCCCCTGAATGTGGGGTGCTCAGAAAGGCCCTATGATGGCTCCTTGGTGCCAGGTATCCTACCCATAGCTTCTCCAGTGGGTAGAGAGCATGATGTTAACACCTGGGGAGGGCATGTGGGGCTCTCTGAGGCCAGCCTGCCCTGTCCCTCTCTTCACTCCTGTCCCTTGTCTGTTTCCAGGACCCTTGCTTGGCTGGACCTGTCCCCACAGCTGTCCCTCGAGCCTCTGAAGTGGATGGAGAGCAGGGCACATCTCCCAAATCTGCGCTGCCCCTGAATGTGTGAGTGTTCCCTCCTGCCTGCCAGGTCCTTCTTCTGGCGTCCCATGCATGCACATAGCAGTTGCACATATGCCTCCATAGGGCATCCAGAGGATGACCACCTGGTCAATTAGTCACAAATAAGGCAGCTCAGAGAACAAAGCACAAGCCTGGCAGAATCTGTAAAGTTGTGGTTCCTGTGCATAATGATGTAGGGATGGCAGCTGCCTCAGCCCAGAGCAGGCCCCAGAGTTTGTGTAGGGGGTGGCTGAGCAGCTAGTGGCCTCAGCAGAAGGCCACATCCAGTGCCACTGCATGAAAACCCCATAAATCACTCGCAGAAGGGAGATGCTTATCTTGTTTAGAAAAATATCTATTAAATTGTAAGTCTTAAGAGATACATACTGTTTACAAAGCCTCCATTTCAGTAGTGTCCTGAAGAATTAGGCCACCTCTGCCTCTTCATGAGTGATGAGTAGTTCAGTCTAGTGGGTGAATGGGTGCCTCAAGGGAGCTTTTGACTTTTGGCAGACAGAAGGATGAGGAGAGAAAGCTCCACCAGCGTGGGTGTACCAGGCACTCACTCAGAACCTGTGTGGTTATAGAATGGGATATATTTTAGAATGAAAAGTGCTTTGAAGAAAACAACACACTGTGTCCCAAGATCTCTGCTGGCTCTGCCATGAGGACAACCTCACCAGGCTTCTGGGATGGTTATGCATCATCCTGCTGTGGAAGGGCACTCGGAGCATCTCTCCTTACCTACCTAACCTGCCTTATCTACCAAACCAACTCCATGAAACAAGGTTGATATTCTCTAGTTTCTGCCTGGCTTTTAAGAGGAACATAGTTCAGTAAACTATACTCCAAATGTCTTTACGTTAAACTTGAGTTTTCACCAGCACTGGGCATGTGATGGTCCTACTGTTCCCAGGGTCTCAACCTGCATGGAACAACACATAGGGGTGTTGGTAGTGCTGTGCTGGGCCTTGTTTGGCATGCACACAGCCCTGGGGGCATCCCCAGAACTGGGAAGAATCCAAAACTTTGCAAACAGCAAAATCTGAACTTCTGCCCCAAACTGTCCACCAAATGTGCAAACATGAAGTGATATGTGGGCACCATGTTCAGTGTTATCAGCCAACCAGGTTTAAAGTTTGCAGTGATCTGTGTGGGGACCCAGCACCTGCAAGAAATGGCATCTGCAGTGCTGTTGTCTTTGGACCTCCTCCTGGACCAACTCCTGCAACCTCTCTGCAGCCAGGGGCTGGAAAGACATGCTGGAGTGCACTCAGGAGGGCATCCCTGAGGAGACCTGTCTTGCTGGGGATGGGCCCCATGCACTTCCCCACAGGACAGAGAGCAGGGCACAGGCCCAGTGACACGACTTCATCCTGCAAATGCATGCTACGCATGGACTCCCTGGGTGCAAGATGCCCTCCTCTCCATATCAGCTCCAAGAGTGTCCTTCACTCCTTGGGAGCTGGGGACATTCCTCAGTGTTCTGGATGGCTCTTGACATTGGGAAAAGTGGGATTGATCTCTCAGTTCCTCAGGTCCCTCTGAGGTCCCTGGAACCCTCACCTCCAGGCACAGCTGCTCTCTAGCTTGAGACTGCATCTGAGTAAAAGGGAGGGACACTCATAGATCAGAGAAAGTCCTTCTGAGAATAACTAGGACTCTTGGCAACTCTGCATGAAGCAGAGAGGTTAGGACATAGTGAGCATGGTCGTTTGACTGTGAGGACATCTGAACCATGCTCAGGCACAGGCTCACACACCTCCAGTGACACACAGCATCCATTCTCAATATCACATTTGCTGCTTTTCCTAGGGAGTGAAAGATTATCTTTACTCCTAGTATATCAGGTCCCAACCTAACCTTCACCACCTTCTTTAGCTCTGAGAAGCCAGCATCCCCATGGTGCCAGAGGCAGATACCACGACAGGGATACAATTGCTCCGTGTTGCTTATTTCCCCAGATTCCATAAATCACATTCAAAGTTGGAACTTGAACCAAGATGAACCATCTGCACAGAAACAGCTGCAGAACTGTGCCGCTGTGTTGGCATCTAGAGAGTGGTGGCCTTGGGTTGCAGGCCACTGCCTAATGGGTCAGCTGTCATAGAATGGCTCTGGGGACCCCATGATCCTCCTCATCACAGAGCTTTGTTCATCCTGGGCCCAGGGGCCTGAGTGAAGACCAGACTCAGGCTGCGCTGCTGGCAGCAAAATCTGTGTGCTGCCAAGGCCCCTGGCATTGATCTCTTGGTTTGAGGTACCCTGTGCTGGAGGGTCTTGGGGTGTACCCTACCTGCAGAGATGCTGCCCCACATTCTGCTTTCCCACCTACAGTGCTGGAAGTTCTCTCTGCTATTTTTGCCTTTCACCATTGCCACTATTATCCTGAGGCCTGTGAGCATTCAGCACCAGGGACATGCCCAAGAACACTGCACCCCACAGACAAGGTGAATGGGGCCCCAAAGCCACTGGCCTCCCTGTGCTTTGGAGAGGCCTGCCGGGGGCCTCCCCAAGGACACAGTGGGACCCCAGGCCCGAGACACGGATTGTGGATGTCCCAGGAGCCCCTGGAGCAGGCAAGGAATCGGAGGGCCCAGTGCTATAGACCACAGATGAGGGGCCAGGTGTTCTGCATGGGAGACACCAGTCCCTAAGCTGCCTCCCTGCCACAGACTCTGAAACACAGAACCGTCTAGCAGAGCTGTGTTCAGGAGCCAGAGATCAGAAGAGCACTGCCAGCTCAGTTATGGCTCTATCTCAGGAAGACACAGTAGCAGCCATGTGCCCCAATCCAACATCCAGTCACTTTGCAGCACTGAGCTTGGATGTGGGGCCAGCAGTGACCATGTGCAGACCCGGACCTGGCTTTCCTGTCATGTCACCTGTGGAGCGGGGAGCTCCCTGAATTTTGTCCACCTCTTGCTGCCCTGGCTATTGGGAGCCACCTCTAAAGGTCCCCATGTACCAGTGGCCCTGGTAGGAATAGGGTGGAATCAATCAACTGTCTTTGCAGGAGGGACATGATAAAACCTTTCCAGACTAGAAGATATGAAAGCCAGGAGAGGTGCCAGAGTTCAACCACTGGAGCCCTTGCTCATCACAGTGAAACCACAGTGCAGTCTGTAGATAGAGAAGATGACTGGGCTCATGCAGTTTGGGTACTGAAGAGTGGGGGGATGCCAGTGGGGTACAGGCATGCCAGTGGAGTGCCTCATGGGGCCCCAGAGCCTGCCTGGCCATCCACTCACTGTACAGTAGGCACTACATCAGGCACCTGTGGGGTGCAGCCCATGTGTGTCTGACCTGGCCTATGCTGGCTCTGGAACCTGTACCACGAGGCCATCCATGTAAACCACTGTGGCTGTCACTGGAGCTGGGAAGCGGCACGTGCTGAAGGTAGCCTGTCAAGGTTGAGAGGCAGGTGACCTGCCAAGATTCTGGCAGCAGGCAGAAAGGGCCAGGCAACTCCCTGGACACAGGTGGCTCTTCCAGTGTTGCGTGCAGACACATTCCTTCAAGTGACTTGGGAGACACACATGCAGGTGACCCCACTCCTGCTGGTGTCCCACCTCTACATAGCCACATGCCAGGTGCTCCACTGCCTGCACAGCCAAGCCTCCAACACACTGGGGCTCACCTCTGAGGTACTGTAAGAGGAACAAGGAAGAAGAGCGGAGGAAGAGAAGAAGAAAAAATAGTAATAGGAAAAGGAGGAAGAGATGGAGTAAGGAGGGGAAAAAGAGGAGGAAGAGAGATGGTAGTCAAGAGAGAAAAGGAGGCACAAGAAAAAGAGGAGGTGATAAAGGAAGGAAAGCAGGAGGAGGAGACTTGTTCACATCTAGGGTCACTAGAAGCATACCCCCAGAGGCCAGAACTTATCTAGTTAGAGGAGACAGCACATTTCATGAAGATGAAACGGCCAAGAGCATCAGTTCCTGTGCAGCCTCCTATATGAGGACCACACTGCCTGCATCCAGCTGTATCCCTGAGCCACACTGATGGCTTTCCAGACTAGGACTTGTACGCCCATGATACACAGGAGCATGACGGATTCCCAGCCTCTCATCCTCAGTTTCCCCAACCATGGAACTGCGGGGTTCTAGGCATACAGAGAAGGCCTTGTGTCTGAAAGTGGCAATGGGTGCCTGCCCTCCCCTGCCCACACTGTCTCTCGGCAGCCCTATGGTGGACTCAGCTCTGTTTGGAACACGGGTAAACCTGACCCAGAACACCAGTGTCTGAGGGCTGTCGGCACCTCAGAGCTGCTGATAAACACAACTCCACAGGCTTCCCACTGCCAAAGAGCTGAATGTCCTGCTGAAGAGGCTGAATGTGGCACATAATCTGAGTCTGTCCTGCATACTTGAAGAACAGCTCTCACAGACTGTGCCTTAGGAAGTGGAGTGTGGCACAGCACTGGCGTTTGCACCTGTGGGCCACCCCATACAGTGGGCCAGTGGGCACTGAGACCAGCATGCTCAGCCAGACTCCTCATAATTCCCCATTTTCCTGCCTGTGATATTTTATTGGGAACCATGTCCCTGCTTAACTGACAGGATATTTTTCTGACCTAAAGGTCTTCAAGTGACTTGAAGCCTGGATATAGAGAATTCTCATCTTTAATTTGATGGGTAGGACAGAAACACACAGTTCTTGTCCCAGTAAATGAACAAGAATCCTCTCAGGATAAGTGAAGGTCATTGGTTCCTCCCCTTGCCATGAGCTCTGTCAGCTGATTTTAATGGCTGCAGACATTTATCACAGTGCTGACACTTCCTCTTCTATAAGGGGAAGATTCTCAACTGAGAGGGAGATACTTAACTGTGTCCATGGATCTGGGTGAGTGTGGTGAGTTTCACAGAGACCCTGTTCATGGCTCTCAACTCCCTTACCTGTTCTCACACAGGGCTGGCTTACCCTGTCTCAAACCCAGGGTCCCTGTGTTATTTTTCCTTCAAAAAATATACCTTGAAAGCCTATCCTATACCTAGGACTGAGGAGGCAGCACTGAGCCGGCCTAGCAGAGTGTGCAATGTCCAGGAGCTGAGGTTCGAATGCTGGGCAGAGATAGTAGGCTTCATGGTGCACTGGGGAGCCCTGAGCTGTGAGCTGGGCTTTGCAGGAAAGCAGAGCTGCTTGGATTCTGGGCCCCAAAGAAGCGGCTTTCTTGTGGGTAAATGCCAGAGGAGCTAGGCCAGACAGGTCACCACAGGGTGGTGCTCCAGAAGTGAGAGGACGGCCCTGGTGGCCTGGCCTTCACTCAGCAGTGTTACTGGGTGGAGACACCGCAGGGCTGAGGTTTGGGCAGCTTACAGGTCCTGGCTTATTCAGAGTATGGGCTGCCAGGCCCTTAGTTGAGGAGGGCAGCAGTCCCTGAGCAAGGCACCTGGAAGTGACTCTGCCCCAGTCCTCTCCCTTGCAAAGACACTGGGGAGGTGGGAGCTGCATTTGAACTCTTGACATTCTGCTGTGGCTGAATGAAGGTGTCCCAACATAGTGACAGACTGGGTGACCCCAGCAGAATTCACATTTTAGTTACTTTCCTGAGGGTGGCTGGCAGCACCCAGTAGGTGTCATTTCTGTCACTTCTGTCTCCCTTCATGCAGCCATCACTGCCCCCTCCCCTCCTTGCCCCCAGCTCAGTGCTGTGGACTCATAAGGCACATGGCCCAGAGGAAATGCTGTCTTCATCTGCTGTCCTCTCCCAGTGTCCTCTGCAGCTGCAGTCATCACAGGCAAAGTTACACTCTGCTCTCTTTTATCTAGGACAGGGACATCATGAATCTATAGGCCCATGATGGGAGAGTCCTCCAATGTCCTCCCCAGGGCCTAACTGCTCCCAAGAGTCTTCACAGGGGAAGACAGGTTACAGTGTCCCCAAATGATGCTGACAACCAAGGCTGCACATACCCCTTACCTTGTGGTACCAGGGAGCTGCATGCCTGCAGAACTGGGATGTTAGAAATGGGTGGCAAATCATATTTTAAATCCAATAAATCTTCAGAGTCAACAGCATTCTCATTTTGTTCTAGAATATTCTTTGGGATGGGAATGTGGTTTAGTCACAGAGCCAAGTGTGAGGCCCTATATTTGATCCTCAGAACCACAAAACACAATTTGTCTCTATGATGTTCCTCCTGGAGTTTGACCCTAGGGAAATGAGCCCCATTTCTGCTTCTGGCCCCCTAAGAAGGGCCCTCCTGGAGTTGGGATGCTGTGCAGTCTTTGGGCCTCTAACCCCCAGAGCCGTATCCTGCAGCAGCTAGGAACACACAGTCCCCAGGTGGGGTTAGCTTGTCCACCAAGTAGCCAGTCCAAAAACCAGATTCTAGAGACACCTTTCCTGAAATTCACCTGTCACCTCTTGTGGGGCTGAAGTCCCACCAGCCAGGTATCCTTAGACTTCTGCAAGTTTATGTGTCCTCACTAGCAACTTGGCATGTTCCTAAGGGTCTGTGGCAAAACAGACCCCAGGTCAGGGTTGCTCCACTAAGTTGGCTTAAAAGAAAAGCAAAAGTCATCGTCCAGATATGGCAAGGAAGTGTGCACCCCAAGTGTCCCTGATAGAGGTTACCATTCCACAGAAAAGACCCCTTTGCTCTCCCAGACAAGCAGGTATGTGGACCTAGCCAGGTCCCGCTGAGTGAGGAAGGTCTAGCCTAGGATACTAGCCTCACACTCAGTTTTCTTTAAGGATTTTTCCTGCTCAGAGCATTGAACTTGAGACAGCATTAAGCATACAGAACCACTGCGAGGTGCAAAGATGGGGCCCCAGATCTGGTTCTGGGCTTTAGAGCACATCATTGTACCACAGCATGATCCCACACCTTTTCCAGAGCTGCTCCATGAGCACAGCATGGGAGGGTGTGTGACTCTAATTGCACAAGCCCAAGTATGAGCCCTGTGCCTGTCCTGCAGCCACCGTATCCTAGGAGGAATGTGTTGACCTGGTCCTTGTCTTGTCTCCACTTTCAGGTACCTGGCTCTCTATGCCTATAAGCCTCAGAAGAGCGATGAGCTGGAGCTACGCAAGGGCGAGATGTACAGAGTGCTGGAGAAGTGCCAGGATGGCTGGTTTAAAGGTGCCTCACTGCGCACTGGCCTCTCTGGGGTGTTCCCCGGGAACTACGTGACACCTGTCTCCAGGTGAAGGTTGATGACTGACCTCTGGTGCTTTGGAAACTACAGTAGCCATGCTGAGCTGGGCTGGGCTGGGCTGGGCTGAGCCTATAAACCCTGCTGTAAGCTCTCCTGGAACGAAGTCTGCTTGGCTCCCTTCTGGACACTGGCCAGCAAGGAGCTAGACTTGGGGGATTGGAGATCACCAGAGAGCCAGGCTTCAAGTGTGCATGTGTGCTTATGTGTTTACACAGCATATGCAGGGCAAGTAGTGCATTGTGCAGCATATCTGCTTGTATGTGTGCATGTACATGCGAGTGTGGTATATGTGCATGTGGATGTGTGTGATGTGTATGTGTGTGTGCTAGTTTCCTTGTGCACATACATACATTCACAGTGAATGTGCCACCTTAGTGTGGATGTCAGTGTGAGCATAGTGTTTATTTCTGTGCACTGCATGTACGCTTAGTGTGTGGTTTGTGCGTCTTCACACATAGTCCTGTTGTATGTAAAAGCAAACTCACAAAAAGGAAGGGTAAAACATGCTTTGAGCAGAAGCATTTTTAACAATTTAGATTTTTCTTTGTTCTTTCTAGGAATTCTGTGTTATACAGTGTCTACAAAACAGAAAGGGCAATTTTATAGATTCACTGAAGTGACCAAATTTCCCTCTGATCAGAGAGTCAGTCTTGCCCATGGCAGCCCTGGCCTCTGATCTGTGTCCCCACTGTGGGCATGGTGGTGACCTGAGGATGGTGGTGACCCAGAGCTCATTTGTCCTGGGAAGAAGACTATGAGGATATTTAGTGATTCTGGGCCTTGCAGGATTTCAGATGGGTTCTTGCTATCATGGTGGCTTTGGAATGCACAGGGCTGGATTAGGTTAGGACTCCAGGGTGAATTCCATGGTTCAGGGGTGTTCTTTGGGACCCCTGCAGAATGCTAGGTTTGCCACAAGGGAGGCTTGTGGGAGAGAGGCTTAGGTGGCCTCAACATGGAAAAATCTGAGAAGCCCTTCTGTCTCCTATGACGATGTAGGGGGAAACTGAGCCAGGGTGCCAGAGAAGGCCTCCAGCTGGGTTTTCCCTAAGCACACTCACAGCTGACCATTGGTTGGGCACCTCAGCCAACTGCACCTCCACTCATGTACTTTATCCCATGGAAACAGCCCCCTGGTGGGGCTCCTTGGAATGCTCTCCTGCATGGGGTCTGGCACCCAGGAACCATCTAAGCCCCTCTAAGTTGTGGAAAACCTGTCCCATGGCACCTCCCATGCCACATGTCCCCAGTGACCTGTTGCTGAGAGCAGCTCATGATTATGGCCAGTGCAGCTTTGTCCCCTGGGTTCCTTGCATGTCATATACATGTACCAGGTGCACAGTAAATTCAAGTTGAATAAATATGGGAAATCTGGTGAGTTTGATGCAATGTCATCCCGAGGGCTTTCTTCCCATTGTTCCAGGGCCTTCCTTGCAGGCTAGAGGGTATTGCTGGCCAACTCTGAGCTGCAGAGAGACGACACTAGTCCTGGGCCCTGGGAGTGGCTCTTCCCCCACAGTTACTGGGCAGAGCTACCTTGGGCACTGTAGGCCCCTCTCCTAAGCTCTTCCTGGCCCCATGGTGCCATGTGGGAGGTGGAGGAGGCAAAAGTCTGTCTGCTCCCATGCCTCTCCAGTATCTGTGAGACGTCCTGGAGGGACTGGGACAGGATATTCCAGCCCAGAAGAGAAAAGATATTCCAGTACCTGTTGCTTCTGCCCCCAGACTCTGTCCTAGCCTTCATCCCAGGAGCCAGCTGTGGATGTATATAGGTGATTAGAAAAGCACCACAGTAGCTCGGGTTCTCTAGACAGTGGCCTCATCTGGAAGCTTTGGGTGAAAAGCACTTCCTTCTGGTCAAATTGCAAGTTCCCTGGAATCCTCAGGAGGAAGCAGTGCTGCCTGTCTTGTCCCTACCCCATCCATCAGATGTGATGAGGTCATCCAGTGCTCAAGCTGTTGTTAGGATGTATGGAGGCTGTGCTCTGGTGCTAGATATTGGGCAGGTATCACACTGTCCCTTGGGGACCCCCGCTATTTCTTGAGTGTGCCACCCAGGTTTGTAAAACATGCCTTCTGCTCACCTGGAGCACTGTGAGGCATTGATTAGGATTTTTCTGGGCCCCCATAGCTTCATCTGTTAGCCCATAAGTGACAGTGAATGACATTCGATTCATCTGAATGTCCCCTGACTTGACTCTGTTTGCTTCCTCAGGGCTCCTGGAGCAGCTGCCCCACCCCGGAATAGTGTACTTGGAGGGTCTCCTCTGGCCAAAGGCATGGCCACTACTATGCACCCTGGCGGTGGCAGCCTGAGCAGGCCAGCCCAGCCCGTCACTACACCGCAGGTTCAAGCCCCACACCCAGCTGGCTCCCCGCCAACGAGCAGCTGTCCCCGCCACACAGCCCAGTCAGCCACTGGCCAGACGCAGGGACCTCTCTCTGCAGGTATGGATATGGATGCGGGGGCCTCAGAGCTGGGACACTGATATGAACGACACATATTATAAAGCATGTTTTGGCCCAGATCTTGAGTAAACCACCATGGGATAAGTTGATTCTGCACATTACAGTCTTAATCTGCTGATCTTTGGGAAGTGCACTTATTCTGTTGCTTCATCCTGGAGCAGAAATGAACTAGGGAATTCACAAGTTTTATGAGTGGGTGGCAGGGGGACCTTATGGACTAATCAGAATAGCATGGCACCCTGTGTGTCCAGAGAAGGCATCTGGGATGTGCGGAGGCCCTTTCTTGGGGCATTACAGTGCCTCCTGCAAGGCAGCATCTAAGAAGACATGGTTAGCAAAGGTCAGAAGTCCCCTCTCAAGTGCCAGTGCCTGGAGGGAAGACAGTCAGCTTACGGCAATATTATCAATCCTTGGGATAGTTAGAAAAAGTCAGTTTGGTGCCAGGATGGCATAAGGGGATTTCATCTGTGGGATATAAAGCATTGGATAACCATGTCTGCTTAGAGGATGAGCCCTGAGCTAGTGAGCCCTGCTGAGGCTAGGGGCAGAAGCTCTGGGACACATGCCACATCGCTTTCCATGCCATAGCAGAAGCCACTCTGAGTAGGAGTGTTTCCAGGAGAATGTCCCCTTCCACCCCATCCTGATTCTCTCGGAAACCATCAGTTGGGGGTGAAAGGTCAAAAGGAATGTAAGTCCTCTGGAGCCATAAAATGCAGGAAATGACTCACTACATGTCTCCAGAAAGCAGCTTCTCAGGTGTAAGTAGTCAAGATGGTATCAATATAATGGAGGCTGTGTTTCTTTAAGTACCAACTGATAGAACGGGATGAGCAAAGGGCCCACTTTTCGAGATTCATTGTCCACATACCCCCACCACTGTGGCCTTCATGTTTGCATGTGGACATAACTTCTGTGGGCCAGGAAGAACTAGGCAGCTTTGCAGGAAGACCAAGTTGGTGTGAACCCATGAGAATCCACAAACCAAACAGACTTGATGTCACTCTGCTTCTTGACTCATGCTGGCCCAGCAAAAGGGCTGGAGTGTGGGAGGAGGGATGGTGAAGGAACCTGGGGGAAAGAGGTCCTTCCCAGAGTGAGCTCCCAAGTGAGGCTCAGGCAGGGAACAGTGCGAGGTGTATTTTAGGTGGAGGAAGGACAATCAGGAGGGCAGGAGTGGGAGACAGTGGGCTATGTACAACTGAAGGCACCAGGCCCTCTTCACCTGCCACTCAGTGTGCTGTAGTTCCAGGAGCCCAGCCACCCAGCAGGAGAAACATAGATTTCATCACAGGATGCTGCCTGATATACAGATTGCACTGTGACTTAGGTGGCAAAGCACCCATGACATCCGAATTTCTTCAGTGGGCCCCAAAGACCTGGACTCAAAACCATGGCATCAGTTTCCCTTTTGTGAAGTGACAGTATACTAGCACTCCCATCCTGGGAACCAAGTCAAAGTCCAGGACTGGGACAAGTTAACTGGGAGAAGGATGATGGCATGCAGCCTGGAGGACACCACAGGAAACTGTTGATGGGGAAGATAACACCCAAGACCAGATGCAAGGTTGGAGAGCTATGGGTACTGGTTGATGGGCCCAAGTGATAGGGGCACCCTTATTGTGCCAGCATCACCTCACACATCAGGATCAGGCCTCATGTCGGGAAGGGCAGCCCTGCTACTGGCTATCCTGTAGATGAGGAAAGAGGTTGCTTTCTGGGTAAGGAAGTCATGAAAATAGCTTTTTTCAGGGGCAGCAGAGTGGAACCAGGTGCCTGGTATCTGACACCCTCCTTTGATCAGGGTGGACCTCTGACCTTTGATCATGGCCTGTAGGTATCTGCCCTGTAGGATGCCCTGTAGGTATCTGCTGCAACACCCCCAAGATCAGTCCTACCAACCAGAGATCTCATGGGTGGGCACTAATCTTGTATGTGTGTCTTTTCTATTTAAATTAGCCATGTGTAACACCCAAGCTTGTACACTATCTGCAGCAGTATTTTCTGTCTGGACCTCAACACCTTGCTTTGTGATGATCTCAGTGTTCTGATGTTCCCATTGAGCCTGTGTGGTAGGCTTGTGTGACCAGTGGTCCTCATCTCAGTTTCTGTATTAGTCAGAAGCTTGCTGGGGTGCACACCAGGCAGGGTCCAGGACACTGTCCTCCTGGGTGTGAGCCTTGCCTGGCAGGCAGACTATGCACATGTCCAGGCTTCAGGCTCTGGCAAGGTAGCAGTGCTGCTCCGTACCGGAAGTGCACAGCCTGACACCATGCCCTCGGCCTGCTCGGTGCTCTCCTCACGCTAAGTCATCTAGAAAATGTTTTAGTTCAGAAAGAAAACAGCCCTCCTAGACCTTTCTCACTGTATGCATGAGCCAGCAGGAGCCAAAGAAATTGGCAGGGCTGGGGCAGCTTCATATTGTGTGGTGGCACTGGCCTGTCACCATGGTAACCACAGTGGCATGGCCAGAATTCTCTTTAATTGGTTAGTTTTACACTAGGAGAGTGAAACACAAAATGGTTAAATGGTCCCGTCCTGCATTTCAACCTCAGATCTGTCCCCCACATTTCTGCCACAGACAGGTTACAGAATGGCTCCCACCAAGGCATGTCAGTAAATTAAATGCCCTGAGTTCCCACATCATTTCCCACTTCATTCTACATTTAGAGAGTGGAAAAACGTTGTTGACAGGACAAGTAATGAATTGTTCCCTGCAGTAATTGCCCATTTCAGCAGACCCCAGCCCAGCAGCTGGGAGGCATTTCAACAATGATCTCATCTCATGCCCAAGGCAGGCACTTCGACAAAGGCTTAATTGCATCACCCACAGCATCCAATATGATTTGTTCTGCTTGACTAACGCCACTCCTTTTCCAAGGACAGTGCATCCCACATTCCACCATCACTTGGCAGAGACAAAAGTCCCAACGTTGCCACTTATTTATCAACAAAAAAGCACCAAAAAAAAAAAAAAAAACCTGAATGTGGACAAGGCACATTCCAGGAGACCTGCAAGTATAGAGAATCAGAGACCATTTCTGCCCTGGTTAGAGAAAAGGACATGACACAAATTCCTCTTGTTGCTATGTGCAAAGTCCTGGAGTAAAGGCACCGCCAGGTATCAAGCAAACATGGAGGAGAGGGATCCATTCAGATCTAGGAGGGAAGTGGATGAAGTGGGAACACATACGGGGAATGTTCAGGAGGAGGTGATGATGCCTGGAGTTCCATAAGAAATGGGACCATCTAAGCAGAACAATGGGCAGAGAAACCACCAGGAGGTGGGTGGCAAGGAGGACAATTGTGTCCTGCCTGGGTTTGATGGGACTGTAATAGTCGTAGAAGGAGCTGTCTGGGAAGGAGATGACAGTTTTGTGCAGGTGATGAGTGGGGCATGAGCAGCTCGAAAAAGCCAAGGCAAGTCCAACCCTAGAACACAAAGGCCAGGTGCACTTCGAGATAGGGTGAGGCCTGAGAAACCTGGACAAGCAAAGCTGAAGAGGTGCAGACAGGGTTTACCCTCCTGCCTGAGAGAGCTGAATGGGAGACAGTGTATAAAATGACAACTTTTGATGCACCAGGCATCAAACCGCCAAGGTTGTTAAACAAGGAACATATATATTCAGAAGATCCTATATACTAGAGATCCTGAAAAGATCCAGATCAAACTTCTAGAAATAAAACTGCAATGTGTGAGATAAAAAATAGCCTGAATGACAATACCCTGGAATTAATGACACATTAGACATTACTGAAAAACAGATGAGTGAGCTTGAAGCTATAGCAAAAGAACCTGCAAAAATTGAATCAGAGAAAAAGGAGAACTTTAAAAAATGCACTAAACAGCAGTGAACAACAGGAAACTCTTAAGTGGCCTGATGTATGTGTAATTGGAATCCCCAAGGTGAAGAAGAAAGAAGTAGGGGCACATGTGAAGAAATCATGTGAAGAAATAAAGACCCAAATTGTCCTAACTTTGAAGAAAGCTGCCCCCACAAGCAACTGAAGACAGTTACACTAAGACTAGTCAAATCCAGTTGTTCAAAATCTGTGATAAAAAATCTTAGAAGCAGCCAGAGGAAAACTGTGTTAATATAAAGTAAAAAATAGATAAGGGTTAAGATCATTTTCTTGTCAAGAGAAAGCAGCAGAGAAACTCAGAATTAACTGAGGGAAATGTGTCTGTCTGTTTAGGACCCATATCCAGCAAAAATATCTTTTTCTATATCATTCCAGTTGTAGTATATGTGCTGCCAAAATGATCACAAAAATATCTTTCAAAAAAAGGCAAAATATTCAGACACAGTAAAGCTAAAAGACTGCATCATCAACCAACTCACACTATGAGATATAAAAAAGTTCTCTAAAGAAAGTTGACATCAGATGGAAAAGGACACCTTTGCACTAGGGACAGAGAGCACTAAAAATGGTGACTAATAAAGAAACATGATATCCCTTTATTATTTAAAATATTAAGATACAGCTATTTCAACAAAAATCAAACAATCCAGATTGGGACCTGCGGCTTATGTGACAGTAAAACATACCATGACATAGTACTGAGCTGGGGCAAGGGACCTGGAGCACCCTGTGCCATCACAGGACTCTCATGCTGCGTGGAAGGTTGTGGACTCCCTGCTAAGGAGGCTAATAAATGGATATGCAGGCACTAGCTGTAAAAGCAGAGTCGCACCAATAAGCTAACGGAGAATATAACATGGAATCATTAACAGTCAGTCAATCCAAAATAAAGGATAAAAGGAGATGAAGGTGAACACTAGGCATATGGGTTAAAGAAAAAATTCAGAGCAGGATAGAAGTTTCCCTTAATCATAGAAACAATCACATTAAATGTAAGGGTCCAAATAACCCCAAATAGAATTAAGGATAGATGACCAGATATTTAAAAGCAAGTAAATAAAACAAATAAAAGTTAAATGCTGTGAACAAGAAATAATGTTTTAATACTTTAAAAACAAAAATAGATTAAGAGTAACGGGAAGAGACAGGAAATATACATCCCTGTCATTAGTGGCCTTGTACTCTGAAATTACCTTGAAGGCTGAGTAGATGCTCCAGGTGAAATGGTGTGTACACTCACCTTGCACAGATTCCAATCCTGTCTTCATTCATTCTGTTTATTTGACAATAGAACGAGCTTCAGCAGTGTCAAGTGTTTGGCATACGTGGTCCCCTGACAGACGCTAAGTTGGGACTCAGGCCCATCCAGCTGGCCCCAGAGCCAGAGCTTCTCCCTTGTCTCCCACTACCCTCCTGGGTGCCCGAGAGCTGAGATCAAAAGCCAAGTCACCTTGTCCTCAGCTGGGAGGATACCTTAACATGGGCAACTTAAACTGTTTACAACTCTGGACATGCATGAACAGGACCGTGATAGCAGCACAGGCATTGGTTTGTCATTTCCATTGCTAGAACAAAATACCTGATATCCAGAACTTAATGGAAAAAGTTTATCTAGCTCACAGTGGATTCAGTGCATGGTCAGCTGGCTCCAAGGGAGGAACAACATGGTAGAAGGGATGGCAAAGGAGATTTGCCCACCCCACAGCTGCCAGAAAGCATAGAGAAGGGAGGAGCTGGGGACAAGAATGCACATTCCAGGTAACATCCTCAGTGACCCACTTCCAACCAAGACCCACCTCCTAACAGTACAGTCAGCCATGCATTTATCAATAGATTAACCTATTCATGAGTATAATATCCCCTGACCCAGTCACTTTCCAAAAGCCTTACCTCTGAATACATGAGACTTTTAGGGAGTCTTTTAAGTCTGAACCATATACAGCATTTGCAAGTATGGAATTTACCAGTGATGAGCTACAAATATGCTAACATATATCCAAAGAAATTTGGAATGGCTGTGTTGTAATACTGAACAAAGTAGAATGTATAAGAATATTATTAGTGATAATAAAAGATAATTTCATATATGGTAAAGAGTCAGTTAATTAAGAGGTAATAACCTGAAATATTTAGGCACCAAATAATAGAGCTCAAAATGTATGTACAATTGCAGTTAAAGGTATAGGAAGAAATCAGCAAATCCACAATTGCAGAAATTTCAACATTACTATCAATAAGTGATGGAACAAATAGCCAGAAAATATTAAACAATACTAAAACCAACTTGAATTAATTGACATATGGGGAGCAAATGTTCCATCCAACAACATCAAAATATGTGTTCTTTTTAAATGCACATAGAACAGCTCTGGGCTATAGTATTTAAATCTTAATACATATAAAAAGATTTAAGTTATACAAACTACATTCCTTACCAAGTAGAGTTGAATTAGAAATCAGTATCACAAGTAATTAAAATATGTAAGTTTTCAAATATTTGTAAACATACTTCAGAATAATGCATGGAACATTGAAGAAATAAAAATGGCATTAGCATTTCAAGCTGCATGAAATGAATACACAACTTATCAAAAATTTGTGGGATGTCACAAATGGTGTCCTCTGTAAACATCTATAATCAAAAAGCAAGGAACACTGTCAGATGAATGGTGTAGGCTTGTACCTGAAGAAACTAGAATAAAAAGAGCAAAGGGAGCTTAAAGGGAGTAGAAAAGGGCAGTGCAGAAATCAGTGTAACAGAAAACAATAGAGAAAGCCAATGAAACCAAAAGGTGATTCTTTGAGAAGACCAATAATGAACCTCTAGCAGACAAATTAAAAGTAGGGGGTGGGGAATACACAAATTATTTCCATCATGAATAACAGGTGACATTGCTTCAGATTCTACAGGAAAATAAAGAATTACCTAAAATGTTCATGCAAATAAATTCAACAAATTAAATGAAATAGATGTATTGAAATATTTCCTGAAAGACAAATTATTATACTTGTCCAAGAAAAAATAAGTAATCCAGATAGCCCATATCTATTTAAAAATTTATTTTAAAGGATTCCACAAAGAATATCCCAGTGTCAGATGATTTATGTATGATAATTAAAGAAGAAAATATAACAATTCTGTAGAAACAGAAAATTGAGAAGAGAGAATACTTTCTTTTTCTGAATATTCAGCATTGTAATATTAGGCATTCCAAGAAAGTAAAGCCACATATAAACATATCTCACAAACAGATATAAGAATTCTAAATACTTTAGCAAATCAAATATGACAGTATATTAAAAAGACAATACACCAAGTAGGGTTTATTCTAGAAAAGCAAGTTTGAATTAACATTTGACAATCTGTTTGACTCATTAAAAAACTAAAAATGACATGGCTGTTTCAATAGTGTGGATGTTAGCATCCATTCCTGATTTCAGAGACTCAGACAATGACTCTTGTTTGAGACTTTGACTTCTTTGACCTCGGAAAGGACTCTGTGAAGATGCACAGGTAATATACTTAGGGGCAACAGACTGAAGTTTTTCCATTGAGATCAGAAACAGGAAGTGATGTTTGCTGTCCTCACTTCAGTTCAATACTGAAATTCTAGCAAGGCTGGGTAAGGGAAGGAAGATGTGCAGATTGGAAAGGAAGGAGTAAAACTGTTTATAGTTGCAAATAGCATGATCTTACATATAGATAATCCTAAGGAAAGCGCGCGCATGCACACACACACACACACACACCCCTAGAGTTAAAAAAAATCAGTAAGGTTGAAGATACAAAATCAATATAAAAACAGCTGTATTTCTGTGTATAGTTGGCTCTTCATCTATGGGTTCCATGTGCTTCAGTCAATTATGGATCCAAAATATTTGTGAAATAATTGCATCTGTGCCGAGTACCCACTTTCTTGTCACTATTCTCTAAACATCTGGTTACCTGGTGCCTTAGTTACTTTCTCATTGCTGGGACAAATTACCCAACACAAGTTAAAGGAGGAAAAATTTACGTTGGCTCATAGTTTGTAGAGGTTTCAGTCTTTTTAAGCTGGCTCCAAGGCAGGGTGGCATGCAGAGGGGGTTGGGAGAGGAGAAACTGAGAATGGCAAGCCAGACAAGCAGCGAACCTGTCTTCCTCCTTCTCACCTTATGTTCCATCCAAGCTGCAAACCTATTGGTTGGAGTCACCTCCTCCAGAGTGGGGCTTCCCACTACCCACACCTAGACCTATATTAAACTAACCAATGGACTAATTTAATTATCACACCCTTAATCCTCCTGTGACTGTCACCAGCCAGAGCCCTCTCATGCTCTGGCCCCAACTAAGCAAGGTCCTGAGTCCAGTATTGAATCCAAGGGTCAGAGCTAAGCAGAGCCAGCTGTAGACCAGGATCAGCTGGTGTGTAGTGCTGATTCATAACTCTGGCCTATCTCATGGCTTCTCCGAGATGCTTTTCCAGATTTTACTTTTATGGACATTTTAACCAAGACGTTTTGAAAAATCTTGGGAATGCATGGATTTGTGACAGCCCAGAAAACCAATTAGAAGATGCTGTAATGTGGACGTGATTTGTCCTCCAAGTGTCTCTTAATAGGTAGGGCCAAGTGGTCACTATTCACAGGGTGCTGGCCAGTGAAAAAATTGTGTTGGTTCTTGTGGGATCCTGAGGGGGTTCTTGAAAGAGGCCCATTATGCAAAGAGCAAGCCTGGCCCCTACTCACACTCTGGTCTCCACTGTGCTGTAGGCACTGCCTTGCACACATTCTCACCACTGTGAGGGATCCTCCTCCATGATGGGCCCTCCTGAGATGGATCTGCCATGATACGTGAGTTCACGGAAGCTATGAATCCAGGACTGCAGGCTCACTGAACCCAGCTTCAGGTATTTTGCTGTAGGAGTGAAGCATGGTAATCCGGAGTGCATCACAGAAACTGGGAATGAGCCCTTACTCAGCAGCCTGGGAGATTTAGCTTCCCCGGGGAAGGGTTGTTATACAGGGAGCAAGGCTGGTCACTGGGCTTTGAAGATATGAGAGTGCATCTTTGCAGTTTCCCAGCCTGTTTCTCCTCCTCAGCAGGAGGACCTATGCTGGGGGCCAGGTGCAGGAGAAGAGACCACATTGAGAGAAGGGGTGCTGGGTGCACAGCAGGCTGCAGACTAACCATCTACCCACTGTCTCTCCACTCCTATCCCAGCCACCCACTCCTCTACCCAAGCCCAGGATCGGCCAACTGCCACCGTGACACCCCTGCGCTCTCAGAGCTCCCCATCCCGCCTGCCTGCCACCAGCCTCAGGCCTCGCTCTGTGGTGTCCCCACAGCATGGCCAGCAGTCCCTGGTTCAGACGAGTCCCCGGCCAGCCATCCCTCTCACCTCTGCTGCATCAGCTGTCATGCCGCCCAGTGTCAGCACCACCAGCCTCAGTGGGGATGTCAGCGCGGGCTCTGGCAGGGGCCTATCCACATCCAGCCCCACTGGCACAGGGTGTAGACTGGAGGATAAGAGGGCTGAGAAGGTAAGTAGATATCCTGGGTGCCTGTCAGTGAAGGCTTGCATGACAGGATTGAGTTCCTCCCTCTGCTGCACCAGGCCTGAGATAGACAGAGGCCAGACCAAGGAAGGCAGCTGGCTGGAGAAGCCAGGCATGGCTAACATGGGGCAGCCACGGGTTGTGAGCAAATCAGAAAACAGTGTTCCCTCTTCCACATAGCTTAGTTTCCTCTGTGGAAGAATCACTATAATACACTCATTTTGTTAGAACAAGATCCTTGTTGTGTGCTGGGAGAATGTAACAGTGAGAATCAAATCTGTGTGAACAGCATCCCTCACTCAAATGTGTTGTTCTTGTGTGGTGCACAGCCTGTTCAGCCATATGGGACAGGCTTATTTATTATGGAGAAATGAGAAGATAGCAGAGTGCCAACCCCATCACTGATGTGGACAGCATCTTCAGCTATTCCTTTAACTGTGGTGGATCCTGGGCTGGTTTCATAAAGGAAACAGTCTAGTAGCTGACCAGCTAGTAAGACACTAGACCAGGCAGGATAAGAATCCACATTTCTAAATCTGCATCCAACAGAAATAGGATGCTGGCCTGGGACATTTTCTAGGATTCCCATTTTTTAAAAGTAAAATCTTAAAATTTTAATTTTAACCATTAGGTGAAATTCATTCAATAGCCTATTCCATTAAGCACAATATGCAAACTATTCTTCACTAGGCAATCTATATAAAATTAAAAGTGAGCTATTGGCTTTTACTTTTCCACACTAAGTCTCTGCTAGCTGTGTGGAGCATGTAAGCAGTCCTGTGGTGCACAGCCACATGCTGCACAGCTGTCTGGGGCTCCCCACTTGAGCCCTCTGGAGACCTTTTTGCTGCTGTTTTCCCCGTACCAAGGCTCTGCTGTTGTCCCGAACAAAATTGGTTCAGATTGGTGAGGCAGCTGGAGTTAGACAGTGTAGGTGAGGGCCTCACTCTTCTCCCAGGCCTTGCCACACTCAGTGTTGGCTCTGGGCCTCTGTCCCCTCAGGGGTGGCTGAGTGTACTCACAGTCCCTTCACAGTAGTGTCTGGCCACAGCAACTACTGCCCCTTCCTGTCCCACAGGAGGTCCTCCCCATGCTCACAGGTAAGGAGAGGCCTGTGCCAAAGCCTCTGATGCTGCAGGAGTCAGATGGCTGCTCTGAGCTCATATCTGCTTGAAGATCAGCTGAACCCATCCACCTATGGCCTGGTTCTGAGACACGGGAGAGCTCTGTCCCCCGACCCTGGCACCTTGGAAGCCTTACCTAACCACTGAGGAAAATGAGTCAAGCTTGCCAGAGAGGCCTGTGGTTGCATTCAAGTGCAGGTTGTTACTTGCTCCTAAACACCCTCTCCAGGTCCTAGACGTCAGTGTCTTCCATGTGACTAGCCCTGAGAGGTTCTGTGTCATGAAGTCAGGTGTGTGGGACTCAGGCCTGTGGGAGTCATCAGGAGCCACGGCATCCCCACTGCCCTCTGAGCACACAGCTACCAAAATCTAGATAAGCTGTGGAGGTTTCAGGCACATTCAGTCTCTTCTGACAGCTTGGGTAGAATCCAGGGACCCACAGGGGTGTCCTCTTCCTTTGATGACCCCCATGCCCTCCATAGCAGAAACACCTAGGTCAGCACTGGCCTGAACCAGCAAGCTTCAGGCTGAGTGTGATTTGGGACAGTGTGGAAAGCAGGCCCCATGTGCCCTGCGAAGGAGGTGACTGATAGGAGGCTCAGCCAGCCCCAAGGAAGCACTGCCCTTCCGAATTAAAACAGGATAATGTAGTAACCTACTCCTATTTTCTTTCTGTGCTCCCAGCTGGGCTTTTCATGACTCACAGTAAGGTACACTGCATTTCCAGTTGCCATCTGCAATTTAGGAGCCAAGAAGATACTGGGGAGTTCAAGCACAGGCAGGGCTATGACTCAGGCAGCCCCAGGCTCCATCCTGCCTATGACCAAAGCTGAAACAGGCAGCTGACTGTGAGCACACAGCAGTCACTTCATGGGTGCCTTAAGCAACCCTGTCACATACATGCTTCTGTCTGCTATAGTGAAAAGCAGTATCTGAAAGCACTTGGCAGAGTCTGCAGGAGCTTTTCTAGCTAAATTTCCTTTAGGAAGAGACAATGGGCTCCAGCTCTGCTGTTTAACCTCAGACAATGTGGCTTCTTGGTGCTGAGCCCAGCAGGGTGGGTCAGGGCCTGTCCACCATGTGCCAGAGAGAGCTGGGATGGATGGGGCCAAGGCTACCATTGGGAAGGGAGTGACTTTCCCAGGGGCATGGCACGGTGGTATGCTGGCTCCGCTAGTTGCAAAGGATGAGGCCAAGGCCTAGTTCTCTGTTGGGTGGTGCCTATGGTGCTCGAGGTCCAAGGAGGCTATTCTGGAGGCTGGTCTTCTCTTACCCCTCTGGGACACGGATCTTCAGACTGGCTTCCTTGGTCTTGAGCTCAGCCCTTGTGCCTGGTTTGCACACTGCTCTGTAGTCTTAGGGCTGAGCATAGCTCCCTGCAGGCCTGGCATCCCCAACTGTTGGAATGCTTTCCAGCCTGACTCACTGATGCTCCTGGCCCTGCTCCTCTACCTTGTGCCTTGGCCACCATGCCAAGAGTACCGCCTGCCTGTCAGCACAGGCCAGCAGTGGCATTGCCAGCCCCCTGGAGACCATGTCTTGGGATAACCTGTGGACACTTATGCCAGGCAGAGGGCGGATTGAGCATGGCCTGGATTGGGCCTGGTACTGACCCGCGATTCACTCAGAACTCACATCACAGATTACTTTTCATCACTCGAGTTGTCTGAGTTGACCAGGGGTCTTTCTACTTGGAAATGCATCTACTTCGGTGCTGCTCAGTGGAAGAGGAGACCCCAGAGCATCCATGGTCTTCAGATGCTACAGCAAGGCAACTCCTGGGCATCTCCTCATGGAAAGATTTGAGTGTGTGCTTTTCAAGAGGGTCTGGATACTGTTTTCACAATGATCTATGCGGTCCCACAAATCACAAGGAGAAAACAGATCTTGTATGACTTGAGAAGAGGTTGGGTGTGTAGGACTTTGCACTTAAAAAAAATGAATGTTGTGCTTAAAACCACATTGCTGTATCACCCATTTTGTCCACTGGTGATGGTTTTGCACTGTCATGGACACATCAACACCAGATGATACAAATGAACCATCTCTCAGGGATCATCTTGGAAACAGGCTGCTGTACCTCCCACCTTGAAGACAGGTACTCTCCTTGCACCCTTGCACGCTCTACCCTGGCCTGGAGGGAGGCAGAATCTGCCCAAGTCTGGCATAGGGAAGAATTGGATGGAAATAGATGAACCTGCATGTAGGCACAGACACTTTGGGAAGGTGCTAGAAGCAGAGGAACAGGTGGAGGACCTTTCACTGACAACAGCCTGAGCAGAGATCGCTGTAGCCAAAGGAGGTGCCATGGGTGGGTGAGACTTGAGGTCCCCCAGAAAGCTTCTTGCTGCTCTGCTTGGTTCCTGGTGATAGGAGGGTGTTGCCACGTGCAACCTTCTGATGGGAACCTCATCTCTCTTTCTCTCGGGCAGGCAACCAGCTCTGCCTTGTGCCAGCTCAGCCACAGATGCCTGATGCCACCTTGTGCTCTCCTGTGTGCTGATGCTTGTGGGGATTTCTCTAACCTTTTTAAAAATTTTATTTTAAAGAGATTAAGACAAAACAGGACAAAACAAAGCAGATCAGAACAGAACAATGTGAGCAACACAATACTTCATCACAAGACAACCGGATACTAACAGTAGCTACCATAATGTCTCTTCCTTTGAAATAGTTGAACATATCTTCACATACAATAGTATCAAACATAACAAAATAGTATAAAACCATTCAAGAGAATGAAAGTATTACAGGGTATTTAGAACCAAATAACAGAAAATGAACAATGGCTAAGGTATTATCTCATTTTCCATAAAAAATTTATTTATACTATCACACATATTAAAATCCAATAAGATAAAACCTGATAGAACCAATGGAAACAGAAGAAAAAAAAGCATGGAAGGACTTCAAAGCAAGATGATATTAAATCAGCAATGGCTGTCATAATGTCTTGTTTTCTTCAAAATAGCTGTTCATACCATCACACACAATAAAATCAAACAAAACTGAATAAAGCCATTCCAACTAATGAATGAAAATATTACAAGGCTTCAAAGCAATGTAATGGGGAATCATGATTACCATAAAATCTTATGTACTCTAACCATTTCTTATACTAGGGAGACTATACAGTATTTATACATGTGAGTTTGGTTTATTTCTCTTATGAGTATGGTCTTAAGTTGCGTCCATTTATTTATAAATATCTCAATGTGATCATTCTTTATAGCTGGATAATACTCGATTGTGGTAAACCTACCACAACTTTTTAATCCATTCCTCAGTTGATGGACACTTAGGTTGTTTCCAAGATTTGCCTATCACAGATTGTGCTGCTATAAACTTGGGTGCACATATATTTCATTGTGGTATGATGTTTTCAGTTCTTCTGGGAATATGCCTAGAAGTAGAATAGCTGGGTCAAATGGGACTTCCAATCCCAGCTTTTTGAGGAATCTCCAGACTGCCTTCCACAGTGGTTGCACCAGTCTATACTCCCACCAACAGTGCAGGATTGTTCCTTTTTTCCCACAGCCTCTCCAGCATTTGTTGTTGATAGTTTTCATGATCCTGGCCATTCTTTCTGGAGTGAGATGGAATCTCGGTGTTGTTTTAATTTGCATTTCTCTAATGACTAATGATGATGAACATTTTTTCATGTATTTATTTGCCATTTGTATTTGTTCATCTGAGAACTGTGTATTCATCTCAGATGCCCATTTTTGGATTGGGTTTTTGAATTTCGGGGGTCTGATTTTTAAAAATTCTTTATTCTAGACAAAGTCCTTTGTCTGAGGAACAGTTCACTAAGGTTTTTTTCCCAGTTTACTTTTAACTATGCTGGGAATTTCTTTTGAC